TCCGGGTTAATTAGGTCCGCTTAAATTAACCGTCAAGTTTTCCTTAAGTTAATGAATTGGATGATTGCATACGACAACCCAAAGCATTCCTCACAAGTTCCCTACATGAATTGCATAATAGAGATACAAGCAAGAATCATTAAGCAACATGAAAACTATAAGTGTTGACGAGGCATTCGTTACTATGATTGCATGAAACTTATGCCAAGAATTTTTTTAACGCGATTGTTTATAAGCAACCTCCACTACTTGTGAATATAAGTTCATAACTATTACGTGAAACTCACTTATATTCTAGCTTCAAATTCATGCATGAAAATTAAGCGTTCATTCTTAATAAACATACATAAATAGGATATCAATCAAATAGTTAAACAAATTGAATTCACAACTTATGAAACGTAATTAAAAGTAATCAAATCATATTACAAACATAAACATAGTTTCGAATCACCCCCTAGCTAAAGGGGGTTTAGTTCCTCATACGTACAAAACAAAGAGAATTGAAATTAAACATTGAAATCAAAGAAACGCCTAAACATTCCAACAACTCAAACGTGAATTGTATGAACGTTTAGGCACTCTTCTCTTCCTCTTTATTGTAGCATAAGGTCTAGGGATAGTTGGTTGGGGGGATGGAAGTGTTGGGGAATTATGGAAATGGATGAGGAGTGGTGGAAATGGAAGATGGTTTTTGGATTCTAAGGGAGACTCACGGCTAAGGAAGGTGGATGTGTTTGTGGTGTGGTGTTGTGTTGTGAATGAGATGATATGTGAATGAATGAATGCAAGGGTATTTATAGGAGGAGTGGAGATGTATATGGCTATTTGTTTAAGGTGTTTGTGGCTACAATGATGAAGAATTGCATGTGGAAATAAAAGGGAAAATGTGGTGAAATGATGAAGTAGAAAGGTGGAAATGCATGTGAGATGTTGGAAAGGAAATGGGAATATGAGTAGGCCATGGCATGGGAGTTGTTTTGTTGGTGTAAATGTGCCATGGTTGCAATGATGAAGAATAAAGGGTGCATGTGGGGTGGAATTGAATGAATGCAAAGTGAATGAATAATGAAATGAGTTAAAGAGGGAGAATGTGGTGAAATGATGAAGTAGGAAGGTGGAAATGCATGTGACTTGTTTGTGGAATAAAGAATGAATGGTGGAATGATGAAGAGTTGCATAAAGAATGCATGTAGGGTTAGCTAGGTTGGCTTTGTTTGGGTGCATGTGTGTTAATGGTGGTTTTGCATGTGAATTGATGGATTGTTTTTGATGGAATAGATGGTTCTTTGCATGGCTTTTGAAGTGATTGTGGGCTTTGGAATTGGAAGGAAATGCATGGCCTTGGGGTTGGTTTAAGAGAGAATGGGCTAGGCCCTTTGTTTTATGTCCAAAATGAATACAAGGCCTTCAAATTCGTCCAACACTTTGGCTCCAATCATATGCTATCCATTCCAAGCCCAATTTTGCTCCAAAATGCTCCAAAATGCATCTTTTTGCTTCCTTAGCCATATGAACCTAAAAACACACGAAAATGGCTTAAACTACTAAAACAACTATGAATTAACAACATAGATGCACGAAAACAAGCTAAGTAAGTCGCCTAAATATGCTCCTATCAATCACCCTGATCACCACTAGTATTCTCCTTCTGGTGATCTGAAGGTGACGGGATCGAAGAATAAAAATACTCGGATTTAGAAAAAAGTAACATCCATGGTTACATACATATGGTGAGTTTCAGGATGACAGCACTTATACCCCTTCTGTTTGGAGCCAAACCTAACAAAGACACATCGAAGAGCACATGGATCCAATTTGCTACGATGAATCTTGCGAATACGAACATATGCTACACATCCAAACACACGAGGAGTTAAGGTATTGTTGGATACGACGAGAACATGTTCTGTCAATACTTGAAGAGGTGTACGAAAGTCCAGAGCCCTAGACGGCATATAGTTAATCACATACACAGCACAGGTAACGGCTTCAGGCCAAAAATGTTTAGGCACTGGAAACACCAATAAGTGAGGCACGAGCAGTTTCCAAGATATGATGATTCTCTCTCAGCAACCCCATTTTGTTGCGGAGTATGCGAACAGGTAGTTTGATGAATAATCCCACGATCTTGTAAAAACTGGAATAACTCAGAATTTATGTACTTTCCACCATTGCCAAAACGAAAAACTTGAATATCAGAGGAATACTGAGTTTTAACCATCTAATGAAACAGATGAAACATATCACAAACCTCACTTTTATTTTTCAACACATACAACCACGTCATACAAGTGCAATCATCCACGAAAGTAACAAATCACTTAATTCCCAAAGTAGTACTAACAGAGGAAGGCCCCCACATAGTCAGAGTGTACTAATGCAAATGGAGAAGATCTTGTATTCATACTTGGAGGGAATGAAGCACAATGACTTTTGGCTAAAATACATACTTCACATTTCAATTATGAGTCTTCAATACCACTAAACAAATCAAGTAATATATGTTTCAAATAACCAAACAATGTATGCCCCAAACGATGATGCAATAACAATACCTTCTGTAGATTACTATTACGTGACACACGAACCAAATTAGCTCTTCCAGGAGCCACGTCATCCACATAATATAGCTCATCTCTCTTAGTGCCACTCCCAACGATCTTCTTTGTTTGAATATCCTCAAGCAAGCAAAATGAAGGATACATTAATACAACACAATCCAATTGTTCAGTGACTTGGGGTACATACAGTAAGTGGTGGGACAATGTTGGAACCAATAAACAATATGTAAGGGAAGAGAGGGTGTAAGAGACGCTATTCTCGCTCCAACAACAGCAACAGTAGTACCATTAGCAGTTGCCACACTTTCTATGAGAATGGATCATAGATTAAAATAAGTCTTATCATACATCATATGATCCATTGCACCGGAATTCAAAATCCAATCTGTATTCACCATTGTAATAACACGATTGCACCAGATGGTACAATAACAACGAAGTTTACGGTCTTGATTACAGCTGCTGCAATACACAGGTTGCACTATGTGACAGCACTGCACAACTAATCACCCACGATGCACTGAAATTCACACGGTATAGCCGCTAGATATGTTCCAATGTGCTGACACACACCAGCATAGCCACCATAACAAATAAAAAACCAACGGCTTCCTGCAATCTGTACTAAAGCAGTAAAAACCTGATAACAACTTCTGATTTGAGAACACACCACCAATACCGTAGCAGCCCCAAGTCTTTCTAAGGTAACAGACAAGCAGTAGACAAGTACACACTGCACGTCAATACACAGTACAATTGCAGAAAACACAGCAATTGTACACAATTTACTGTTTAGAATTTGGATCGAAACCAAGTTGTGCAACACAACCCTCACGGCAGCAGTAAGGTATTGCGCTGCACTAAAGAAATTCACGGCAGCAGTTAGACAACGTGCTGCAATCTCAGGATACATGGCCTGACCAATTTCTGCAACAACAGCGCAAGAAACCAGTCTACCGAACGCATCAGCGGAAGAATTGTTTTACAGTTTCTAGGTTACGACAGCTTGGCTCTGATGCCAAATAAAATTTTACGGCTTAATTCTCATTGTATTACATAACTGAAAATATATACAAGATACAATCATTCTTCCATAAGGAAACAATAGTCAATAAAGGACACAAACATATATCCTTTCTAATAAAGGACTCCTAATATTTACAATATATTTACATCCCCTTTTAAATATTACCTTTTTAAATATTACTCACGACAATAAAAGACACCCCATACCTATCAAAACATGTCAAACTGCAAAAATGCCATCTACACCACGGAAATGGTGTACTGGGAAGAGGAAATCCATATAAGCTATGAAGTTCGTGTGAATGTCAATAATATAACGTATGTGATCAAAAAGTCAATTGACCTCATTTATAGAAGATTTCAAAAATCCTTTGCATGTATAAAGTAATCTTCGCTCCGCAAATCTTGATAGGATACACGCAAGTATTCAACCGACTTTTCGTTCATACATATAATAAAATAATAGGGCTAGAACCACCCTCACAGCCTTGTTCCACACCGCTTGTGTCACAATCAACAAACTGATCTTGCTCGGACAAAGCCATCAATTTACCAGTTGTATGCCTTAGTAATTCCTTCCATGGCTGCCACTGCTGAAAAAGTCCAACAACATCCTGCAAGCATTTTATTACAATTAAATATCATGTTGTTTTTGTAGTATAAAATAGTCGTTAATTTGATGGACATAGATTCGTATTTAGAGTACAAGAAACCATTCGGTTTAGTTCCAAGATTGTCTACAAATAAAGTTGATTACCACATTGGCCTTGGTCCTTGATTGGTGTCACGGCTCCTTTCTTTCTCCAATCTATAGTTGGCGGTGTTGTAGCATTTTCATATGGGTGTGCTATCCACACACCTATTTTTTATTTCTCACATACCTTTCTAATTTCTAGCCATCAGATCGGATGAATTGAAGAATATCAAATGATAAAAATTAATAGGAATACATGAGAAGTTTAAAAAAAAAAAATGTGTAAACAGCACATTCTTTTTCATATTTGAAAGAAGTCTTTGTGGAACATTCGTGCCCCATGAATCCATTTCTCGAGGCATTGAAGCCTTCATTTGTAAGGTCTGCAATTGATTGACGCTCAACTTAGTAAGGTTCGTTTGCATCACTATTGGAAGATTCTATAGACTCCACGTTATCCTTGAATATATTGAATATATTGAAACGCTTCTCCTCCTCGTTAACACCGGTATATGCACGTCCATAACAAGCCATTCATTGCTCATATTTTCCGTACATTGATGCATCTTGGAGAGTGCGAAACGTGGCTTGAGAAGACAAAGCCCCCAAAATAAAGAGTAAGGCCAGACAAACACAGTTGCGGTAGGAAGTCAATATTTGCTAATTCTAATTGCAATAAGTAGCACCAATGAAAGTTGCAGTGCAATCCCTTGAAATGTTTCGGTAACTAGCGTCGCAGTATCATTAACATTTAAATCCATTCCCGTCCATTTCCAGTGATCGTCGAACAACATTTCTATGCTCTGAGAAATTATATCTATCATAATTTGTAGACTGTCGCTGTTGAACATTGCAAAATATACATAGAAATTATGGGACGAAAGATGAGTCTTCCTAACACAACACACCCTTAAGTTACGCGAATTAAAAGAACCACCATGATAAATACACATGTCATGACAAACATCAGAAGCCATGTGAAACAAGTAGTCTTGGACGTCCTCGAGTATATACCTGCTGCCCGTGTAGTGGCGTGACCAGTGCTTGCCAAGCTACTTTCAACAGCCTTCTCTGTAGAATCAAGTATCTGCACACAAGCCATAACTAAGTTATGAGATCAACATACATGTCATTCCATCAGCACTCCATTTACATCTAAGGCACACCAAAGAGTAAACAGATAAAAAGTTTTTATGTAACAAACGATGTTGCATTATTGCTGGGAACATTTTCCGATGGTCGCCATATATCTGATGATAAAACGGTTTTTGCTTGTGACAATGTAAGTTCTATTACAATCATGACTAGCAGAGTCAACAGCTTATATAAGAATACTTAGTGTTCCAAATTTTTAAGAGATCCAATAAAAGACACTCAGCAGCGTATCCTTCTTTTCCTAGCTCTGATTGCCAAGCTTATTGTGTTATTCAACTTCCTTCTTTATTTTAAATTTAAAAACATGGAAAACCGGACCAGATATCATATTGCAAGCCTCCCCAAACCCCTTTACTGTAAACTATTTCTCAACAAAAATTAAATCAGTTCTGTTACCACTTAAATTCCTCGGCAGGTGTTTTTTTTATTTTTTATTTTTTTATAATTTTTAGCCCCCGTCTCTTAGGAACTCATGACAGTCCCAACATTCGTTTCTTTGTTTAACATTTTCCTTTTCAAGAATTTCTCCTAATCTCAAACCCTCTAAATCCAAAGCAATATTCACCAAAACTTCCCTTCAGTGTCGCCCTAAACAAATCAAACCACAGCCAGCTAAATCCAAAAGGTATTGACTCTATAGACATTACAACATCCTGCAATAGATATCTCAGGGTGCTTACTTTTTCAGTGTTTTCCAAGGAGTGACTCATCATGAGACTACTCTCTTTGAGCTGTCTAGCCAATCCAACCATTTCGTCTGTCAAATCCTCTTGAAGCTTTCTGTAAACAAGAGAGAAAAGTTTATAAGAATCGAAAGCATAATGTGGAAAAGAAATGTAATTAACATTTGAAAGTCTTAACGGCTGAATTGTGTGTTCTACCTTATGGACATCAATTGACTTGGGATTGAGGAAATTTCCTCTCTAACAGTAACTGTATCTACTCTGATGGGTTATCTGATTCAAGGTCACATTATTCGAGCCATCATCTGTTGGCAATGGTGTACAAACATGATGGCAGGAAAGACATGGGTTGGCCATGGACTAGGGTTGCTACAATTTGGATGGTCCTCCTAGTTCCTTAAGCACTCTGAATAACAGAGAGGCTGGGGTCTGTAGGCCAATATTTATCTTTGGGTAGCATCTTATCTTTGTTACCATCAAAGTAAAGCAAGAAATTGTACAGAAAGAAGGAACACTTCCCAAAGTTGCCTGACTATTGTTCAAAAATTATCTGATGTCCCAAGTGAGCATCCATGTCATTTCTATTTGTACATATGCATTTTTTTAAGCAAAAATCAACTTCTATTTTTACTAAAACAAAAGTTTCATACTGAAAACACATATAACTGCATCGCTGTGGTAATTAATGATTAACATCCTAGAACTCCCGTTTTCAATTTCATCCAGTCTCATGACTCCAGTTTAATAGAAAAAATTGAGATACTGTGAATATACCTATGCTTTTCAATGTGTGCTTGGGCCGCAGCATCCAGTTTGACAGGCCCTGAAGAATCAACACCAGCAGTCTCGCGAGTTCCATCTTCAGTATTAGAGACTAGGCCTGTTTAACAAAAACACAGTTCAAATAAAACAAGTCATTGCAGACAAAATATCACAAAGAAGGAGCTGAAACCATAGTGATCCCAACTACCATTCACTTACACAAATCTCCTTCTCAAACCTGGAGAAGGGGGAATCTGATTGCCTCCTGTATCAGAAGAGTTTGCTTTGACAGAAATTCTTGCAAGGGGCTCTTCGGGTGTTTGAATATCAGGCTGGGAATTGGCGAAAGAAATCACAGTTAGGAGCAAGGAACTCCATATATTGCACATATATACATTACATTCTTTGACCAAAAAACAAACAATACATTACATTCTAAAGAAATATTCGCTTGCCAAACTGTTAATCTGGTAAACTTGTGCTTTTATATGATGCCAGATTCACAATATTCAATATACCATGTCAGATATCTAGCAACAGAACATTATCCATTTATTACAGATTCACTCTTGAGATGCCATGAAATGACACAACAAATTACATGTAGCATGAAATGGTGTGGGCACTTGAACTATAAACTATCTCTAGGAATTGTTCACCGCATAAGAACTAAAAACTGTCCAACCATCCATCACAGCTCAAAAAAAAAAAACCTGTAATATTTTAGTTGTCATGTCAAACAGTCTCCCAAGAAATTTGTTTCAGCCTAACAATATTTTGTTTTTCATACCTTATCATTATAATTTCCCGGCTTTCAAACTAAATCTACTATTAGTAAAATTGATTCAAATCATAGAAATTCACAGAACATTGTAAATTAAAGTACACCGGCTTTCAAACTAAATCTACTATTAGTAAAATTGATTCAAATCATAGAAATTCACAGAACATTGTAAATTAAAGTACTCATTTTGCCAATGTAACGGGTTTAAAGTACATAAAACCAACACATCAACAAAAGGCAACGTGTATGCTTTCTAGATTATATGCACACACCGGTGGAGCAGCTAATTTGGAAGCAATGGCTTCAATCTTCTCTGAATAGTCACTCAAAACAGCCTTTGAAACTCTGGGTATAAAATTGAAGATAATGATATCAATTAGTAAACTAAGAATGTTGCAAACTCTTAAGTAGGGCACAGTATCAAGAAAATACATTGAAATAGAGAAGATGAAAATGTTGATCTGTGTAGCCACCATTAGTACCCAGTATCAAGAAAAAAGTGTTTGGAATGTGAATCAATATTTCCATCATACCTACCAAAATCTGTAAAGGTTCGTAAGGTAAAAGAAAGGAAGCGTATTGGAACATGCATCCAACTATTGGACAAATAATCGTTAAACAAAAGTAAATCAAGGGAGAAAATAAAACACATACTTCGACAAAAAATTAAAAATAAAAAACATACTGACCTGGGTAAGCCTTCTGGAGTTCTCTCTTCAGCTAGTTGTTCTACCAGTTCTCGTAAAGTAGCAACATACTGCAAAGTAGCCATACTTAGTCATCCATAAATGGCACATATCCCCAAAGAAAAAACAAAACAAAAACCTAGAACTGTAAATATCACGCCGAGAAACTGGAAATAGTTGGCACAAAGGAATTAACTGCAAATGGATAAAACTTTGTAACCTATAATTCTAATAACAACATACATGTACAAGTTTTGCCTGGTTCTGTTGCTGAGGTGCAGCTGCAAGCAGCCTCTTCAAATTCACCTCTGTTTTACTGATTCTCATCCCAAAATCCTGCACCATTTAACAAACATAAAACAACAAGCAATTCAACACTCAACCAACACCCATGAAACGATCACCTTTTTGTAAATGATCTCTATGCTTTGTTTTTTTATCTAAACGTCGTCAATTTGATATTGATCAGTTCAACAATTGGTATTTGTAAGTGATCATTTCATAAATTTCCCAAAAAATTAACCCAAACTCTAAAAAAAGAAAATCCATAACCCAATTCTGCACAGGTTGTACGTACAAGTAATCAAGATGCAAGAGTTCCCTATTCAAGATACACAACTCCTAATTCTAGCGCTCCTAATCTTGCACAAGCAGAAAGTACGCCAACCATGGCATAGCAATCGGGTTTCAAATTCCCCGTCAGGCAGTGGAGATGTACATAAAAGAACCTTTCAGATAAGCTGACACAGTGCTTTAACAATGACACCAAATTCAATAGAGATATCTAGATTATGCAGGTACCCTTTTACCATAATAAGTGAAGAGATTAAATCTTTAAAAGAGAAGAACCACACACACACACAAAAAAAAAAAAAAAAAAAAAAAAAACCTTTAATGTACCCACAAATCATGGCAGTCCAAGAAACAACATCTTTCTCCGGCATTTCATCAAATATCTTATGTGCATGTTCCAAATACCCACATTTCGCATACAAACAGAGCAAACTGGTTTTAACATAAACATCGAAGTCAAACCCGGTTTTCACCACAAGGGTATGAATGTTCAGACCCAATTGGAAGTCCGATCGCCTCGCAAACGCTTTCAGATGCAGAAGCGCCTCCTTGTCAGGACTCAGTATGCACAGCCAATGGTTACAAACCCTTAAATCAAAACCTCCCATTTTTTTCTAATTGACAACCCCTTCCTCACCCATCAGATTCTTCTAATTGACAACAATAGTAAGCATTACTATCAAAGAAAATCTGTAGAACATGAGATACTGACTGAGTAACCTTGCAAAGGAAGTCGTGGGTCGAGAGACTCGAGACTGGAAACGGCGAGAGGACTCAGAGCCAGAGGAGGTCGCGGGTCACGCCGTCACGGGTCACGGGAGTGAAAGATTGAGAGTGAGACGGCGACACTGACTGAGAGTGAGACGGGTTGCACCGTCGCAGGTCGCTGAGAAGGAAGAAGACGAAGACAGATCGCAGGTGCGCGGAGCGGCGGAGGCTGCGAATGGGAACTGGGAACTTGGGATTCGGGAAGGACAAGGGAAGGGAAGGGTTTCAGACTACAGAGTACAGAGGCAGAGATGGAAGGCTAGAAGTGTAAGACCCTCTCCCACCCAAGCATCAAGGAAAAAAATAGCCCGAAAATTGTCTAACTGATGACTAAGCCATAGTGCTCGTGGACACTGGACAAAAAGGGCCAAAGGCCAATCAGCTGGCCCAACTCAACTAGTTCCGAGCCGGATCAAAATTTTCATTATTCATGTCGGTTATATCCGACAGCATTATACTTATTTCTATCGTTTATATTTGACAGGCATGATAGGCCAAAATTTCAAATACAACGGCTAGCTAACATCAGTTACTGTTGGATTCATTTTTGTTTTTTTTTTGGGGCCAAATTTTTTTAAGTTGTAGTTTTTGTTTTTAAATTTAAGTTGTAGTTTTTAAATTTAAGTTATTTGTAAATTTAAGTTGTTGTAATTTTTAAATTTAAATAATAAACTATATTTGGACCCTATGGCCCTTTGGTCCTCGATTGGAGACTGTTTTTTGTGACAAGGCTAAAGCAAACCCTATAGCCCTCAGTTCGAGATGGAGGCAAATATGACCATGTACTGTTCATTAAAGTATTAATATCTTAAAGGGCCAGAGGGCTAAAACAAGCCATTTGGCCAGCCTTCAGTTGAAGATAGTCTAAGGGTGTAGGGTTTACCTTTTAGACTGAAAGAACGACACCGTTTAAGTAATAAAAATATTAATTTATAATTAATGATAAAAACTTCAGTTCAGTTCGGTTTCCAAACCCCAGAAACCAAACCTAACCAAATCAAATTCGGTTTGGTTCGGTTTAACAGTTTCAGTTCGATTTTTCTGGCTTCGGTTCAGTTCGGTTTTTGGTTTTTCGAACCCACCCCTAATAGTGAGAGATGAGAGGAGAGGACGCGTCTAATTTGTGAAGAGTGGTAAAAATGTGAATATCTCGAATTCACTGACAAAATTACCCTCCTAGCTTTTGGTAATTATCCTCCAACCCATCTACAAATGTGATGGCAATGGTGTAAAAAAAGGTAAAATCGAGTGGCAAAGGGATTGACTGTACTGACAAAATTACCCTCCTAACTTTAAATAATTACCCTCCTACTCAGTACAAATGTGATGGCAATGGTGTAAAAAAGGCAAAATCGAGTGGCAAAGGTTTGACTGCAGATTTGCTACAGTAAAACACTCCTCAACTTTAGAATAAATATATCAAACTCCATTTGGTTGACCAAGAAAATAAAATGTGATTTTATTGATTTAAAACCCAAAAATTGAGTACAAGGATGGACAACAATTATCCCCAAATCCCCTAATTGCCTCTCGATCGAAACCAGGTGCTTGGATTATTTACAAATCCAACTCTAATTTTGTCAATCAAACTTGCCTACCAATGACAGCCTCATTAGGGATGTACTTGCCCCAAAACCAGTGTGTTGTCCACACTCTATTCATCTCTTCAATCGGAACGTTCTTTGTCTCGGGGAAGAAGACGGCAATGAAGATGGTCATAATCAACACAAAATCGGCAAAGAAAAAGAAGAGACCAATGATGAATGTGAACAACATGTTCATCGAGACGTTGATGGCTTGTCCGGCTGATCGGATCTCGAGAGGGCATATCTCACTCGGTACCAGCCACCCCAACAGACCCCAAGAGCATGCAAATGCTGCTACATATGTACATATCAAGAACAAGATCTAATTGGCTTCATGTTTTGTAAATGATCCTTCTCCACTGAGACCAAACTTCATGACTATCATCACTCCGATAGCAACCTGCAATACAATTTCAATTAGATAGAAAATATACTTTAGAAATTCAAATTTAGTTGAAGGAAAAAAAAAAGAGACATTTCCTATTATTGTTTAAATTAAGCTGGTAATAGTGAATTAGTTTCATTGAATTGATCATGTCGTTAATTATGTACCTGGCATATCATCATTTGCGTACCACCTTCAAATTGACAAGCAAGCTTAAGAGATTGAGAAGGGGCGTGAATGAAGAATTAGTGTAGGAACAACACAAAAATTCATATCATATAAACTAATGAAAGGTTCACAATTCAATTCAGTTACAAAATACGAAAATATTTATGTTTTCATTTCGACATTACCATAATATAGAAAAAATATCCTTAAGTATCATCATTTTCACTCTAGCCCTCATCATGTTGATGCAGCTCCTTCATCATGTTGATATGCTGCATCACGAAATCCGGGAAAGGGTGAGGATCATCATTATATAAAGGCAATTTTTCTTTTCCCAAGCTCCTCATCTAGTAATATAATGGATAGTGTAATGCACAAATTGTTTTAAAATCATGCAACACATTACAATTACTACAAACTTTGACGTACATGCTCACGAAACCAAGAAGGATACTTATCTTTGTGTCTTTGCTCCATGTTTGAACTACTTTCATGCTTTATTATTTCATTATGTTCCTTGCATAACAAGTCAAATAAATATTAGAGGGAAAAAACTATTTAACATAAATATAAAGGATGTCACCTACTCAAGGAATGTGTCACCTCGTCACAATTGTTGAATATAAATCATTCAGCTATCTTCACGTAAGCGCTAGCGAATCCAACACTTGAACTACCCATAAACGGTTTTGCAATTTCGGCAAATACAAAAAGCTTCTCTTGTCGCACGACATCGCCAATATTTTATTCACATCGATTGGAAACAATGAGATTGAATGGGAGAATAATATTGCTACCTTTCTATAGGGTACATCTACCGAAAATATTAAGGCCCATCAAGTATAACTTGAATCATTACATCAAAGAATGCAGGGAAAATATTTCTTCAAGCCGGCACGATATGTTCTTTCAGCCTTTCCAAGTTTGCCACATGCAAAAATTTTGGCACATATTTGTTGAAAGAAGCTTGATAATTGAATGATCGGTTCAATTACGTTTTTCGGCAAAAAATTTTGTGGCACTTTTCAATATTATGTTTGAAAAGTGCAATGAAATAATCATAGCATGTGTTTGACATTCGAAACATGACCTTGCCATGCATGAACTCCACAATTTCTGTTAGTACAAAGAAACCTTCACACCCAAGGTACAATTCTCCTTGAGCTTGTTTTAATCATCTCTCAGTGGATGAAGATCGTTGAATTTCTTGTGGATAAAGATTCTTATCATCATCATCATCCACTTCGACATTATCATTGTTGATAGTATAATTGTATGACATTCCATATCTACCCAAATCTTGTTGAATCTCTCTCAATGACTTCAATCTACAATTATTACAAGTTTGGCATGGGCACTTAGTATAACCCTCAGTGTTGACATGTTTGCTTACACTTATAAAAAAAAAATTCTGAAATCCCATTAAAATATTCATTAGTCACTTGATTCGGATTCTGTATCCAATCCCTATCCATGGCATACAAAGTACCCACTCCCAGTTGATGGTAATAGTGGTAATACATGCACGGATGTAATGATGAAGAGAGTAATTTGACAAGTGAAGAAATAATTTATGATAGTCAAAAGAAACAGGTCAAAAGTTTTTTAGAAAAGTTTACCTCTGCAGTTTTCTTTTACCTTTATTTATAGTTGTTAGCTTTCCTAAAGTGTAATTATAAATACCAATGGAACTTATCTTTTCAGAAGCGAATGAAATCATATTTTCTCTCATCTCTGTTTCTTTAATGGTATCAGGACTTGAAATTGAAGAAAAATAGTGAAATTTATGATTTATGCTTGAGAGTCTCCAACTAAGAGTACTTAGTGAAGTCATTAACAAAGATGATATAAATTCGAATACCACC